TATTAGTACCGTAAAGAAAATCATTTTATCATCAAGAATGTAATACAAATTACCCAATCTTTATATACCGATACACTATGACATTTATTCTCGTGATTCCAAAACTTTATAATATCACACAAATCAACATGGAAAAATAAAAACTCATGAGATTGTATTATCAAGATTTCTAAGTTTTCAGAAAAGAAAAATACAATCCTTGAAGCAGTACATAAATGCTTCCTTTTTTTGACATATACTCATTCGAATACATGGTGCCGAGATGTGTTTAAATATACTGATTCAGATGCTAAATGCCCAATATGCAAAGATATACATACACGTTTAGGCACGTGGGGGTGATTGGAGCTGTTCGAGTAAAGATAACCATTATTTTCTTAATTGTCCTTTTCGCTCCAATCAAAAGAAGCTATTAATCGCTTTGCAGGCTTAGATAAATGCAAAAGAATCCTCATTACGTAGTAGATCAGAGTTCGACAAATAGTGTCATTGACACTATCATCGCCTTCTCGCAAAAGTTGCTCGAAGCCAGAAAGTAAATGATAATTTATTATTTTTACTTCGCTCAAATCTGTTAACAAAATATATCTGACTTTGAGTGATATAATCATGAAAAGGCGGGAATTATGAGTGGAATCGAAATAACAGTATAAATAACGACCAATACTTATTTACAAAATCGCGTAAAAATAAAAAATTGGGAGCCCAACAGACCCCCCTCCCTTTATTATTATAAAAAATTATATTGCTGGGACGACAACATAATATACAAATAAAAAATATATATATATCGCTATTACAGGTGCGAATACAAATAAAAAAAAAATCTAAATAAATTTGACTCTGATCCTGGTAATTGTTCTACAAGTATATGAATATTATTTTGATCAGGATTAATACTGTAAAGAGGATAAAGATTAGTATGAGGATGTGCATTTACATATCCTCTTTGGGTGGGGCAAAATCTAAGAAACCGGCGAGGTGTACTAGTTGCACCAGATGGTAATAGGGACAAACGGGCTTGAACTTGAGTTTCTAATGATTCGACATCACTTCTATTAAAAACTTTGATTTTAAAAAAATGATACGGTAAGCAGAGCGTGATGAGACAATTAAGATAAATATATTCATTAGTCTTAGGGTTGGGTTCGT